CACACACCCCTAATAAAGATAAGTCCTTGAGGTAAAAATGAGGCATATCAGGGAAAGGAATGATTGGATATCCATTATGGCACCCGTCACTTGTTACACATCAGAAGCCCAGAATTGTGATCTTTGGTTGGAAGAGATCCTACAGACCTCTGAGCTGCAGCAATCTATGCCTTGACTTGTAAAGACCACACAATTCCTAGCTATTCCTTCTATGTGGGTGCCTTGTCTATGGGAATTAATTTTTGAATGATTATTTTTCTTTTAGCTGTTATTTCTATATTATTGAAACTTATGCTTTTATTTTTGAAGGGTCATTTGAATTCTCTTTTATGTCTGGGATTGTTAGTGATGGTTTTGAATTTGAATTGGTGATATAGGTCAGATTTTCTTGATGCTGGCTGGACTGAATTCTGCCTCATTCATTTTTCTCATACTTTTATGATTCAGTTGTTTAATTTTAAATGGGCTTGTGATTATTTATTTTTTAAAGTATAGCACTTAAAAACCTGTTATTTTTTTGGTCATTTAATGTTTTCTTTGTTTTGACTCTAAAGAGATTTTCACCTTCCTACTCTTTATTTATTTAATGTGAGATTATTATTACTCAAGCTCCCTTTTCAATGCATTTTTATTTTTTGGATGTATAGATTTTATGACACTTTCTGGCTGACATAACTTTTCCAATTTTATTCCAGAAAAATTGCTGTTTTATTTCCAATTTTACCTGGAATTTACATTTTGTTGGGTAATGCCCCCAGAAAGGGACAAGCCTTGTTCCCATAATCATGGCTGCCAACCTAAAAATGCTGTTATGAAAAATGTTTTGATGGGGTTATTTAACATACTATGTTAAATGGACATTAAGTTTATCTAGCTATAAGGTTTTGATTCACTTCATGTTATCTGCATTATGATTTGCAATACGCTTATAAATTTAAATTTTTTTCTCATCATCTTGTCCGTCTTCTTGTATAGTCCCGGATAGAGGAGCAAGTCTTTCTCTGGTTTTATCATTGTTCCTTCCAGTGCATTTTATTTTTAAAGCTCTACTGGAGTGTTTGTGGTAGATTTAGGTTCCTCTGGGTCCTAACCTGCCACCTCTTTTAGCCAGAAATCTCTCTTTATCCATTGGTTTCTTTCCAACAGATTACAAACATGCAAAAGTAACCCATCTTTAAAAAACCTTCACTTGATGCTACCATGCCTTCAAGCTCTTATCCTGTATCTCTAAATTCTTTAAAAAAAAAAAAGTTTTCTGTTTTGGCACCCATTGCTTCATCTCACACTGTCTCTGAGCTTCTTGCAATCTGCCTTTGGCCCTCATTAATTCAAATGAAGCTGCTCTTCCCAAGGAGTCTTAGCTCAGTTCGGTCCAGATAACACCTGGTAGAATGTTGGAACTGGAAAATTGCTCTCCCCCAATAGCATTCCAGAATCCTATGTTTCCTCAACAAATTAGGCATTTCCCCCTCCTGGGAATTCTTGTGGGGGTGTGTGTGTGTGTGTTAAAGAGAACTTGTTCTCTAAATATTAATAATCACTCAGTTTTATGGTACTTTTACAGTTTATAAAGTACTTTCGTCAGAAAAGTAGTGTGAAGTATTAGCCAAGAATTATCTCCATTAGACAGATGAGGTAACAGAACCGCAGAAGGGTCAAATACTTGCTTACAGGGTCAGGCAGTGCAGTTTAGTGGCCAGAACATTTAATTCCAAATCAGAGAACTTGAACTCTATTTGTGGATACCTACTTACTACCTGTGTAACATCTGACAAATCAAATTGTTCTAAGCCTCAATTTCCTCATATGTTAAATGAGGGAGCTACATTAGATGACAACTTAGGCCCTTTCTAGCTAGGTTTACCAAAATAAAAAAACTTCAAAAAGCAGACGTAACAAATACATCAGTAAGAGAACTGTTACAACGAATGGATATGTTATAAATATATGTTATGAATATATGAATAGTATGTCATTATAAAGGCCTTAACAGGTCGCTGTGGGTTTAGTACTAGCATTTTTTATCAAATAAAACTTTCATGTGAAAATGTTACACAGACTATCAAGGAATACATGGTACCTATTTGGTCTATAGCTACATTTTAGTTATTAGACAGAAATATAGTAAACCCACAGCGACCCATTAAGGCCTTTATAATGACATACTATTCAAAGAACTAGGTAGCTGTTTCCTGAAACATTGGAAAGAAAGGAGCTGCACTGTCCTCTTGGTACCACATAAAGGAGATAAAGAATTGTCACTCCTGGTAGATACAGAATTCACAATCAAATTCTGTTAAAATTGACCTCCCTTAGCTCAATTTATTAAAAAAAACTACTAGGAATATGTCTAATGATAATAGCTTACACTTAGTCCTTTAAGGTTTGCAAAGCACTTTACATATATACACACACACAGTCATATATACATATTTATGTCTTATTTGATCTTCACAACAACCCTTTTACAAATAAAGAGAGACTCAGAGAGATTAAGTGATTTGCCCAAAATCACACAATTATTAAGTGTCTGAGGCAAGATATGAACCGAGGGCTTTCTGATGCCAGGTTCAGCACACTATCTACTGTGCCATGTTGCCTCTTACATTGTGTAGCATAAAGTACACATATAAAAAGGCCACTATTAAAAACCTTTACTGCTCTCTACTAGAGGCATTTTTTCTACTTATAAACTATTAGTTGTCTAAGACACCAAATCTTTCAGAGTCCTTCACTTACTATCAACTGGGCTTGTAAAAATTAAAACTAGGACATCTGATGTTTTTCAAAATTAAAACAATGAATATATAATCCATAATAAATATCTCAAGCCCAAAGATCATGACTCCATTTCTAAAATGTAATTTCTAATTTTTTTTTGATTTTAGGTTTTAGCAAAAAAAAAAAAAATTTAAGCTGCCACTGTTCAAATAATTTTATAAGGAAAACTGTCACCTTGGTGAATGAATATCTATTATACTATTAAAAATTAGGTATTGAGGGGTAGCTAGGTGGGGCAGTGGGTAGAGCACTGGACCGGGAGTCAGGAGGACCTGAGTTCAAAACTGGCCTCAGACCAAACACTGGACAAAAAAACTAGCTGTGTGATCCTAGGCAAGTCACTTAACCTCAAATGCCTTAAAAAAAAAAAAAAGATTAAGTATTGAGTCCTGATAGAATTATGCAGATTAATACTACCAACTGACAGCAGGTATTTAAATAGACCAGTTAACTCATTCTAGCAAAGCATGATTTGCTCATATGCCAGTTGAATGAGAAAATACAGCTGGATTAAAAAACAAACAAACAAACAAAACAGACTGCTCAAAAGCACATGCCCTGTTAGGAGTCAGTATCATCTCCCTATGTGAAAGCAGCACATAATCATACGCAGATTACAAGAGCAAACATTTATGCAAAGTCAACATTTAATATTAATTACATCCTTCGGCCAAACTTTAATCATCAATTCACCAAATTTGTTGACTGGAAAATGAAGGTTAGGGGGAAGGGGTAGGCTTCTCCTGACAACTTTCTTATAGAAGCACAGAATTTTCTGTCTCAAGTAAGATGAGTGTAAAAGCACTCTAGAAACTTTTAAGTGCTGTATAAATGGCAGTTTTATGATATTAAGAGAGTGTAGTCCAACCCCTTAATTGTATGGATGAGGAAATTGAGACCCCCAAGGATCCAGGTCTTGCCCAAAGTCACACACTGAGACAATGGTAGAGCCAACGCTGGACAAAAGTGAGATCCAGACTAGGCTGCTGCCATGTTACTGAAGTGTGTTGCTCAAACCAGAGGCAGGTTGATTCTCTGCCTTTTATATACAGGCTTATCAAATAAACAGCGGGCAATATCTACTATTCTGGCAATTACCTACAGTATTCCTGAGAAGACTAGGAGTAAGAAAAGACCTATTCCTGAGAAGCTGGAATAAGAAGGGATATCTGAATGGAATACATTTTTTAAACCATCAAACATTGGGATCATTTGATAAGTCCTACTCTGCCAAGGCTTCATAATTAGAGATAAACTGCCTTAAATCAACTTTAAAATGTTGACGTTTTCTTTCACTTTTTAAGAAAACAAATGGATATATTATAAATATATGTCATGAATACATGAATAGTATGTCATTATAAAGGCCTTAATGGGTTGCTGTGGGTTTACTATATTTCTTTCTAATAACTAAAATGTAGCTACAGACCAAATGGGTACCATGTATTCCTTGATAGTCTGTGCAGTATTTTCACATGAAAGTTTTATTTGTACAAATTTGTTTCTTAGTGTTTATTTACACCTGCATGATACCATGTATCTTCCAGTAGAGTCTACAACGCCTACACAATGTCATAGAAGTGGATCTAGGTTGCTGAAAGTAATTCCACCAGTCTATGATAGGAGAGGTCCTACCAAACTGGAAAGGCTTTGCATTTAGTCATGTACACGTGTCATCCACAGACCAGTCAAGCTAAGTCCCAAGAAGCTTAACATCAAGAGGCTGGACACCTGCTGATGAATTTTTCTGTCAAAACAACGAAATAAAACAAAAACCCTAATAAAGAGTCCAGGGCAAGCAGTTTGCCATCTTTTTTTGGAGGAAATGCTCACACTGATGAAATTATGGATCATTTGAAGTCTAGTATCATGTTCAATTCTATTCTAGCTGCAAAGCAATCCTTTTTAAAAAAAAAAAGAGACCTAAGAAGTTAATTTAACTTTTAAAAATATTACTCCTAATGCTATTTCTCTATATGGAAACAGTAATTTTAGAATTCTAGTGGCCTGAGAATGCATTTACTCTTCTCACCTGGGGTGAATCAGAAGATAATTATTACCATCATCATCATTTTACCTAGCACTTTCTAAGTTTCTAAACAAAACACTAACTCCTCAATTTCAGAATCAAACTTGAATGCAAAAAAATGAGAACTATGTTGGTCAGCAATATCTACTTTATGCTGAAATCCCAAACAATTCCCAAAGACAAACAAATATTTTGGTCAGGGTAAAGTGAAGGGTAGTTTAATATACTGAACCATACTTCAACAGAAAACTACACAGTCTTTCTGATCAAGCAAGAATGTCCCAAGTCCACCTGCAATAGTTCATGTCTTATAGGCAAATTTTCACACAAATAATGACTAAAGAGCACTTGGTTTGCTTTTTGACTAGATTATAAAATTATGCTATGTTGATTCTTGAGATTTTTTAGCTCCTTCTCTTGCTAACCTATCAGCTTCTTCATTGCCTGCAAACCCTGAATGACCAGGAACATGCACCTGTTGAAAGATAAGTTTAAATATTAAGTTACTTAGTCTTTGGTCAATAACATTACTTCCATTAATGAAAGAATCTTAAAAAGTAGTGTGAATTCACACTAAGTTATGTCTATATGAAAACTGTCTCAATTAGTCTGACTGATTTCAGGTGCAATCAAGTAAACAGCACAAAGAAAGATAAAAGAAATGTCTTTTTCACAAAAATTGTGATATTAGCCTTTTTCAACTACTGTTTTAATTTTTCAGATGATTAAGTTATTTAGAAAGACTATAAATGTCAAGTAAGCTTACCATAATGACAAAAGAAACACAACTACTCACCCATTTAATGTCTATGCCTTGAATAAGTTTATCAAGCTTAACAAAGTCTTCTTTGTTAATGACATCTTTTCCTGTGCTTGTTTTCCAGCCATTTTTCTTCCAGTCTTTAACCCAACTTGTTATACCTAAGTAGTTAAAATGTAACCAGTCATTACACCATTTCACAAACGATTTCATTGTGTTTTATCCTCAACTTTCTTGAATTATCAGTTTTTCCAGGAATTTTCATAGCTATGCACTCTATAGCCATAGCTACATAAGGACCATTTGTGCTTCAATTTAATTTGCCAAAACTAACAGAAACTAATGTTAGATTCCACTGAGAGACATCCAGTTGTCTCAAAGCAAACTTCTCTGGAAGACACTTTACTTTAGACATATCATTTGGCATTCTACTGCCCATAAGCTGTGACTAGCCTTGCAAAAAATGTTCAGGAGAACAATGGATCAAACGGAATTCCCCAGAACACTTGACAGGTGGGGTTCATTCAATATGAAGGATTTGGGGATGATCCAATTGTCCAAAAGGTGGATTTAATTCACAAGAAACCTCTTGACCAGGGAAAGATTCTTAACTTTTTTTTGCATAATGGACATCTTTAGTAGTCTGGTGAAGTTTGTGGACCTCTTTCTCAGAATGTTTCTAAATGCATAAAATAAAATGCAAAGAATCACAAAGGAAACCAATCATATTAAAATATACTTATTAATATATATATTTTTTAAGTTCACAGGCTGCAGGTTAAGAATTCCTGCTCTAGACCAATCTCGATTCCCAGTTTGCCATTTTGAGCTGAACCTGATCTCCTGGAAGTGCTGTAGGTACCCAACAGTCACCTGAACCTCTCTTCCAGGTAAGCAGTTGTCTTAGTCTTTCTACATATAAAAGCCATTATAAGAAACAAAATAATAACTTACCATTTATAGTAAACATACTATCTGTGTAGAGAACCAGCTTACTGATATTTTGATTTTTGGCTTGTTCGATTGCTTTACAGGCAGCCTTGAAGAGATATTTTGACAATTATACAATGAAAAAGTGGTTAACTTACAACACTTCATGTTTATAATGACTATAAAGTTTATCTATTTGCTCTAATATCGCTCCAGATTCACAGAACTAATGATTCTTAGATCTAGAAGGGACTTTAGTCTGTATCTAATCCAGAGGTTCTTGTTCATGTCACATACCCCTTTGGCAGTCTGGTGAAGCCTACTGGCAGAATGATAAAGGTGTTCTCAGAAAATGTCATTAAATGCATAAAATAAAATGCAGAGGATCACTAAGGAAACCAGTTAGATTGAAATAAAGATATTAAGAACTCCTAATCTAACCCAACCTCCTTATTTTACAAATGAGGAAATGGAAAGGTTAAATGACTCAAAGTCATTATATTCCCTATCTGATATAATGTCACTACTCTAAGTGGAAAGTTATATGAAAAAAAGTTTACTTTTGTAAAAAAAGCCTTTTCCAGAATATGTTACCACATCCTAAGCTAATCTTGAAGCATTCCAACTTTTCCTGCCTTAAAACATCTAATCCTGTTCTTTGTCCTCCCTGAAACCTCCATTCTTTCCCCAATTCTTTCTGGGTCCTTACCCATGCACTGGCTACAATCTCCTCCCTTCCCTAGCTCAACTCCTTTGTAAACCTAATCACACCTAAATTTATCTTGTACTCTTGAGTTCCTTGCTCCCTTATCCTATTGCTGATCACACCTTGCCAAGCCCCAACCCTGGATTACGCCTACGTCCTTCAGTCCTATTTATGTATTGCTGAATAGAGCTGGAGGAAATCACAACTGTGCTGACTGGGTCTACTCCAAATTTAAAGTTATCTAATCTCTACTGAGCCTTCATCAGAGCAAGACAATCATTTTACTCCCCTTATCTCAACTATTATTATCAAGAACACCATCATCTTCCCAGTCCACTGGGCCAACCTGGCTCACAAGCACTCTTCATTCGCACTCACTGCACATAACCAATCCATGGCCAAATCTTGTCATTGATACTGTTCTCTCAACTTTCATAGCTAGCACCTTTATTACCTCTTGCCTACTGCAGTAATCTTCTAACTGGTCTCCTGCCTTACATCTCTCCCCTCTGCAATCCAGCCTCTATCCTGCTGCCAAAGTGGTTTTCTTAAAGCACAGGCTTGACTATGTCACTCTTCTATTCAGTAAATTCTAATTGTTTATCATTACCCCAAGGAGGAAATAAATATAAAGTCCTCTATTTGGCATTTAAAGCCCTTTACAACCTGACTCCTTCATATCTTTCCAGTCTTCTATGCACTCTATGACCCAGCTATATACACTAGCCTACTTGCTGTTCCTCACACATGGTACTACTTACTTCTATACTAGCTGTCTTCCGTGCCTAGAATGCTCTTCCTTCCTACCTCTGACTCTGTTTTCCTGGCTCCCTACAAATTTAGCTCAAAGCCTACCCTATGTAGTAGATCTTTCCTGATCGCTCCCAGCTAATAAGCCCTCTACTCTGAGATCATGTTTTATTTATTCTGCATATATCTTGTATGTAGGTAGTTATTTACGTGTTTTCTCTCCCATTAGAATGTGAACTACTAAAAGGCAGATTTTGCCTTTCCTTTGTATCACAAGTGCTTAGCACAGAACAGTGCCTAGGACACAGCAGTAAATATTTAATAAAATGCTTTTTGACTAAGTCTTTTCTATACTTGGACTATTTTAGATAATCCAAGTAATACAACCCTAGATTTGATTTCATAATTAGTCAAAGAAAAACTAAAATATTAAGCAGAGATCTAATTTTTAATAATTATTATTTTAAAAACATACAAAATTCTAATAGCTCATAACTTACATGTATTTCTGCTCTTTGGTTCGTCTGTCGCCCACGAAGTCTATCACCCACATTTCTATATGAAAATGGATTAAGAAAAGGAAGAAGGAGGAAAGACAAAGAGAAAGAAAGAGGGAGGGGGAAGGGAGCAAAGTCAGGAGGTGGGGAGAATGAAAAGAGAAAGATTTATAAATCACTCTTTAGGCATTACAAAGTACTAGATAAAAATCTAGCATGTTTAAATATACATAGACATATGTGTGCACAAGGATGCAGACACACACATTTGATTAGCAGCATGCTATAGAGCTGGCCTTGGAGTCAGGAAGACCTGCCTTTGATCCTGGGTAAGTCACTTAACATTGAGGAGGTGCTGATCTGCATAGGTAGAGAAGATTCCTTACCAAGAGTTCCCTAGGCCAACTAAATTATAGATCAGGTTCAAAAGTATATGTATTTACTAATATCACATTAAATACATTATATTAAATATATATAATAATGCTAGAGAAGAACATATGTGCCTTAGCAAAGGGAACACAGGACTTGAGCTGGGCAACCCTGGTAGGCTACTTCCTTATTTCTAAATAATTTCTTTTTATTTACCTTCAGCTAAATGGCTTTTAGATATAATTAAATTTCTTTTAGGCCCTATGCTTTCAGGCATGGGTTTGTGTGCCTGAACTTCATGATATTACTATGATTTCACATATACTTGCACAAAAAGATTTTTAAGAACAATTCATCTGTTATATTCCCTCTATTCTCACAAAACAGAAGACTAGTACTCTAATTTCATACCCAATAATCATTCCATTAGGTCAGGGTTCTCAACCTTTTTTGTGTCATGGACTCTTTTGGCAGTGTGGTAAAGCCAACAGACCCTTCTCAGAATAATACTGTGTTTTGTTTTGTTTTTTAATTCACAATTGAAAGAAATAACAAATGAAAATAAAGATGTAATTTTTCCCTATCCAAATTAATGTACATACCCTCAGAAATCTATCTGTGGACCCCCCCCCCCCAAACCTCTGCCTTAATGAAAGAAATGTTACAGAAAAACCTGGGAAAACTTGTATGAATTGATGTAAAGTGGAGAAGAACCAAGAGAACATTCTATACAGTAACAACAATAAAGATAAACAACTTTGAAAGACTTAGGAACTCTGATCAACACAATGGAACCAACCACATATCCAAAGGATTCATGATGAAACATGCTAACCACCGAGGAGAGGGAGGGAGAGAATTCAAAATTGAAAATAAAAGTAATCTTAATTTAAAAAAAAAAAAAAAGGAAATTCTGCATTAGGTAATACTGCTTTACTATGGGATATGTGATCACTTAAGTAGATGACTAATTTTGGCACAAAATATTTTGAACAGAAACACAAGACTTGCTATGAGAGGTTTGGAGAAAGAAAAGGAAAAGTCTCAATCATACCTAAAGCCTTTCTGAAGGGTAACTCTGAATAGTGCTGAACTGAAACAATGCTTTGTTTCTAACATTCCTAGGCCTTTTAAACGATAGCTGACCTTTTAGCCATATTGGAAGAAAGAGGAGGATCAAAGAAGTGATTTGCCTTTGCTTGGGGTGGGAGGGACTACAAGTGCCAACAGGGGAAGACAGAGGTGCTCAATTCTAATTTTCTTCTGTTTTCTATAAAAAGAAAGCTCTTTGCACTAGAAATGACAAAACAAAAATGACTGATGGAGAGTTGATACCCAGGAAGTGAGGTCATTGTCAGACAGGTTTTAATTGACCTTGATGAATTAAAGTCACCTGGCTCACATGAACTGCATCGTTGAGTACTGAAAGAAATGGCAGCTGTGACTTCAGAATCACTATCAGTGATATCTGAGATATCATGGAAAAGAGAAGATCTCTAATTTAGTAGATGAGGAAAATATTGTGGATATGGTTTATCTAGATTTTAGTAAAGCTTCTGATAAATATCTGATACTATTCTTGTAGAAAAGGTGGATATGGATTAGATGATAATGCAATTAGGTAGATTCACAACTAGCTATACGGCCAGTTTCAAAGAGAAGTTATTAATGGTTCATATCAGTTCTGACAGTAGGTCTCCAATTGTGTCCGTCAGGGATCTCTGCTTGGCCCTGTGCTGGTTTATCTCTGACTGGGATAAAGACAGATGGCTTGCTCATTAAATTTGCAGAAAACACAAAAATGGATCTTTTACAGGCTAGAACATTAGACTAAATCTAACAAAGTGAAAATTCAATAGGGAGAAATTTGGTGTTACATTTGCTTACAAAAAAAATCAACTTCACAAGTAAAAGATGGGTGAGGCATGGTTAGACAGCAGTTCTGAAAAAGATCAGGGAGTTTTAGTGGACTGAAAGCTCAATGAGTCAGTAATGGACTGTGGCAGCCAGAAAAGCTAGCACTGAGAGGAAGGAATAAGGAGGTGATAAGGCCACTGTACTCTGCCTTCATCAGATCTCGCCTGGAGCCATGTTCATTGCTGTGTTCAGGCCTGAGTGCCAGGATATTGATAAGCTGGAGAGTATACACAGAGGATGATTACCAGGATGAAGGGCCTTGATTTACATTACCTGAGGATTATTTGAAAGAACTGTGCATGTTTAACTGGAGAAAATAAGGCTCAGAGGGACATGATAGTTGTTTTCAAGAATCAGAAGATCTGTCTTATGGGGTAGGGATTGGACTTATTCTGACCGGCCCCAGAAGGCAGAACCAAGGAGTTGTGGGTAGAAGCTGCATAGAAACCAATTTAGACTTGATGTCAGGGAAAACTTCCTAAAAATTAGAGCTGTCCCAAAGTGGAATGAGATACCTACAGAGGTGGAAATTTCCCCCTTCTTAGAGGTCTTTAAGTAGAGGGTGGATGACCACTTGTCAAGTATGTTATGATGGGGATTCTTTTTTGTGTACACGTTGGACTAGATGACTGGTAAGATCTATTCCACCTCTCAAATTCTGTTACTCTGTGATATTTATATAGTGCTTCAAGGTTTGCACCCCCTCTATCCCATTTGATCTTCCTAATAACCTAAGCTAAGAGAAGCTAAGGGATGTATTTGCCCAGGGTCCCACAGCAACTAAGTGCTGAAGGTAGGATCTGAATTAAAGTCTCTCCAGACTCCCAGTTCAATGTTATTGCCACAGCAAAACTGTACTTCTCAATTACAGCACATTCTCCTACAAGTGCTGACAAGTTTTAAAATACGTCAAAGCAACTGGGTTAAACGTGAATCTCATAAACTGATGTAAAGTTCAAAATAAAGCCACATGTTACTTACAGGGGATGGTCTGGCCCCCAATAAACACCAATGCCTGCTCGTGCTTTCCTCCTCCCATTACTGGAGCAGCAGCCATCTGTATAAACCACAGCTGCATCTCCTGTGAGACAAAAAATTTGATCAGTGTTGCATAAGGGAAATTACTAATAACACCAATTACTTTTCAAAAGTTTACTATCATTTCTAATGAGGAATTTTTATGATGGCTGAATTCAACTTAAGGCCAAGGAGAACAACCTCATTTTTCCTTCTGGGGTTTTACTTTTAGATCCCACCTTTTCCCTGGAATCCAGCATTCATGTGCAAATCAATATGGGTAATGAAACTACTTTGTGCAACTGGGTCACACATGAGTGATCAAGCACCATCTGTCTGGGTTCTAAATTAGAAGGAAAGATCATCAGAGAACAGCAAAACTGTCTTTTTGTGTACCATAACCCATGATTCTTTTTACACACAAAGCATCTCTGAACCAAAATGATACACAGAGCCTGAGTACAATAACAATCAACCTTCTAGCCAATCAGGCTTCCTGCCTAATGTTAAATCGACCTCAAAAAGATTTTTAAGTATCTATGCCACCAATTCTTCAGTGAAGTGTTCCTCTGACAACTCACAGTGGAATGAGGGTGACCTTAGGTTATCAAAATCTATATAAGCACTTGTAGGTCCTACAAAACTGGAAAGGATTTCTGTACACATTCAAAGAAGGATGGAAAAGAAGTATGATTGTTATCCAATGATCAGCCTAGGTAAGATTGAAGAGGCTCATGACCAGATGGGCCACAGGGCAATGAACCTCTTGGCCAAAGCAACCCTTGAAATCCATTTACTAAATCAGAGAATGGATGCAATGTATGTCAGTGGAGTGAGTATCTGTTCCGACAAAAATCAAATTCTTGGTCCTTATCCCAGAACCTTCAATCAAAAAGTAGACAAGAGTATGTATGTCTAAATAAGGCAGGAAACAAGAAGAAAATCTTTTGTTATGCCTCCAAAGTGGACAGTTGTTAAAATGTGAAATCTGTCCAGATGGCCGTTGGAAGCACTGGAGAAACACTTTTGCAATGGAGAGAACCATTAAAAAATGTTGTCAAAAGTAAATTTAACTTTTTGAAGCCCTCACCTGGGGAAGCAATTACTATGGAGAAAGGACCAGCCATCCCCATCAACTGCCACCACAAGGCTGGCCAACCAACTGAGGTGAAGCATCAAGACACCCTGAGGGAGAGGCAGGAGGCAGCATGTGCTAAGCAAGTCAAACCTACACTTCCACTTTGACAACCATCTTCCCTCAGACCCCAGTGGAAAGAGCCCAGGACCCTGAATTCAAGAATCTCAGGAACAGCACTGCTTCCAGCCAGGGCCCTCAGCCATTATCCTAGAAAGCAAGCTATGTGGAGATATGGTATGACAAACACTCCTGCAAGCGCTTCAGTCGTAGCTACCAAAGACCCAGAAAGGAAAGTTCGTCACTAAAGCCCTTGGCACTGTCAAATAATTCAATCAGAAACAATATGATTTTGTCAGTGGAAGTGACATTAAAGAAGAACTATGAACATCTGCTTTGCCACTTTATACCCCCTGTATCCCATTTGATCTTCCTAATAACCTAGAATAAGGGATGCAAATGCCCAGGGTCCAAAGCTTTTGCATAAACAAAGCATTTTGCCACTTGCACCTTAAGGACCCCAGGACCTTTCCATCCAACTTACAGCTGAAACCTTCCCTACGTGCTGTCCTCCACCCCCCAAGAGAATTCCAGCTCCTTGGGAGCAGGGACTGTTTTGCTTTTCTATTTGTATCCCTAGTACTTCGTGCAGTGCTTTGCACATAGTAAGGGCTTAATAAATGCTTTATTCATTCATTTATTCAAACTATATAACCCAATTGACTAAAAACAGCCAGAAATCTAGCATAAATAGATCTATAATGCCGAGCATTCTTGTAACTTCTGCACTCCTTCTTTAGCTGTCAATTAAGATACCACACTTTTCTGTTCTCTTACCTCCTTGACCAATCCCTTGCTATCTTACTTACTGTTCTTTCTTTTCTGCCTTCTCCAAAGCTCCATTCTTAGTCCTCTGCTTCTCTTTTCTATACTTTTAAGATTCCATTTGCTCACTGCCTTTTCTGAGGATGACACTCAAATCCATGTGGTGTCCAGTCCTCACCTCTCATTCAACTAAGAGCTGAGTACTGGGTATATGCAAAATCCAGCTCTGACATCTCACCACAGCATGGTGCTGCCATTAAATACCTGAAGGCTATGCAAGGGACATGTTCAGGTTGGCAAAATCTGCCATGACAGAAAAGCTTTGACATGGTCCTGGCAACAAGCTTTTAGTCTGAAATGTTTGCTTTCTTAGGACCAGCAAAGCTAAGTACCAAGAAGCAAAAGTAATGTAAACTCTTGTAAATCTAGCAGTCTGGCCACTTGGTGAATGAATCTTTTGCATACTTTGTTTCATGAGTTACCATGGTGCCAAAGGAAAATATAAAATGGTCCCCAGTCCTACATGGTTTCTTCTGCTTGCAGTGATGAGAGCAGAATAGCAGGAATGGGTGCTAAGACTCCCGCAGCTTTTTAGACCCTCTAAACTTTAACTTAGCTGTTGGTCTTCTCACTGCAAGATCCTTGTCTAGTGATCAACAAAGGGTCATTATAGTAGAGGAACTAAACTGCATTAATCCTGACATTCTTAATGAAAACAAAACCATTTAAATGGAAGGCTGGCTGGCAGGTTAAACCTGGAGAAGTAAAAGTGTTTGTCTTTTTTCAGTGATCAAAAGGCAACAAGAAACAATATTTACTGATTTACTGACACACTGAGTCATCTTGTATTGAAAAGAACACCATGAATGATCGGCATCATCACCATGCAAATAATTTAAGCTTATTCACCAACATCTGTTGCAGAGGATGAAAAGGAACACAAATTCTAGAACACGCTAAGACCATCCAAATTAAAACAACATATTTTTTGATAATCATCAAGAATTTACTAAGCACATACTATGTTGTCAAGCACTGTGCTAAGCACTGAGGATGCAAAGAAAGGAAAAAAAAGACCTTGCAGGAGACAACAGGCAAACAGTTGTCCAGATAAGTTATATACAGAGGAAATTGGACATCATCTCAGATGGAAAGCGCTAAGATTAAGGAGAACTGGGGAAAAAGCTTCTTGTAAAAGGTGGGACTTTAGCTGAGACTTCAGGAAAGCCAGGAGGCAGAGATGAGGAAAGCATGAGAATTCCAAGCATGGGAGATAGCAAGTAAAAATTATTTGACTTGCCCAGGGTCACACAGTTAGTTAACATCTAAAGGCCAGATTTGAATTCCTATCTCCAGGCCCAGCAATCTATCCACTGCAACATCTAGCTGCCTACAGAACAAAGGATAGACATTATCATAAAATAAAATATATAATTTCAATTATATGAAACTGAAAAGTTTTTGCAGAAACAAAATCAATGCATTATACAATAAAAAGGAAAAGGTCAAATGGGAAAAATTCTTTGCATCAAATACCTTTTATAAGGACCTGACAGCCAAGATATATACGGTATTAATACCAACATAAAGACCAAGAGCCATTCATTTATGGTTAAGTGGTCAAATATATGAACAGAAAATTCTCAAAAGAATTGCAAACTATTAATAACCATATAAAAGATTGCTCCAAGTCACTAACAAGAGAAATGTAAATCAAAATAATGCCTAGCAAATTGGCAAAGATGACAAATGATGGAAACAGTCAATGATGGAGGAACCATGGGAAGACAAGCACACTAATGCACTGTTGGTCAAGTTGCAAACTTGTCCAACTTTCCTTGAAAGAAATTTAGAGTTATGATAAAAAAGTGACTAAATTCTTACATACTTTGACCCCCAAATTTCATTACTCCGTATATATCTCAATTAAGTCAAGACAGAAAAAAAGGCTCCATATAGACCAAAATATTCATAGCACCACTTTTTGTGGTAGCAAAGACATAGAAACAAAGTAGATGCCCATGTGCTGGGTAATGGCTAAATAAATTGCAGCACAAGAATGGAATAGAATATTACTATGCCATAAGATGCAGCTCAAGTACCACCTTCTAAATGATGCCCTTTTTCTCAAATTACTTTGTAGTTAACTAGTTTGGATTAATTCTGTCTACACTTATTTACATACTTGTTGGCTCCCTCATTAGAATGTAAACTAGTGAGCAAGGATTTTTCATTCATTGTATCTGTGTGTCTAGCACACTGTAAAGCAGTACCTGGTACATAGTAGGCTCTTAATAAATGCTCATTGATTCATGATTCAAAGAAGTATGGGAAGACTTATATGAACTGATGCAGAAGCAAAATCAAGAAAACCACTCAATGACAACAATGTAAATAGAGAACTGAATGCTTTGTAAATATAACAAGCTTGGCCCCAGAGAAGAGTTGAGGAAATAAATTTTCTTCCTTTCTTTACAATGGTAAAGGTATGGAAGGTATGGGTATGGAAAACTGCATAAATTGTTAGACTGGACTGATATGTTGGTTTGTTTGCTGAACTGTTTTTCTTTCCTCTCTTTTTAAAACTTCTTTGCTACAAATGATAGCACACTGAGTAGGGTAGGGGAAAAGGATATATTTGGAAACAAGCATTTTATACAAAGACACTGCAGATATAAATAAAAATACAGATTTTTTTTAAAAGCAGAAAAGAAAGGAACTGTTATTTAGAAATGAAACAAAAACAATTTCAAAAATTCCATACAATAGTATCTGTTTAACTAGTGAATATAGCAGTTTTCTACTTAGTTTCACATTAAGTTCTATAAAAGTTTTTACTAAATTTTCAGTTAAGTTAGCTTCCCAAAAGTAAACAAGTTAGATAGATAGAAATGTTCATATAATATAAAACAAGTTCTACACTTACCCATGTAAGAAAATGTATCTTTGCTAAGTAAAGGTACTGAGTCTGTATTTTGTTTTGTAAGTTTTGAGCAAGGCTCTTCCTCTTCATCTGATGACTCACGGGGTCTCTTGTGTGGTTTCACTTTTGGGTCTTCTGTGTCACTTTTCTTTTTCTGCTCTACAAGAAAAAATGTCCATGTATAAGTGAGCATCAAGAAAATAAACACAAGCTTTCACCAAATTTTTACTTCTAACATGATGACTGTAGTCCAACATCCTCATTTCAGTTTGGAAAACAGAGGTACAGAGGTTAAATGACTTAAACTCCAAATTAGAAAGCATTTATTAAGTGCCTTCTATGTAGACACTATGTACAAGAAGGAAAATAAATCAGTTTCTGCTCCTCAAGGAGCTTTTGGCGGGGGAGACAGACGACACGGACGGACAAGGAATCTAGATACTGTTTTATTATACATCATGGCCTCAAGGCATCCTCAAATATCACTTTCTTTATTTAAGGACTGTCTTCAAGAACCAACTGTACAAAGAATCATACAAACTGTTCTGCCTTTTGTTATCTTAAAATTTTTGCACTCTGATTTATCTGTAGTTTTTTCATTCTAGGCTGAGGATACAGGAGGAGATTTAGAGCACATATTCTTATGGAACAAAATTTGCATAAGGATATAGTTTTTCTGTTAATATTCCAAAACCCAGAAGAGACCTCTCAAGGGCATCTATTTAATTAATTATGGTCCATGAACAGAATGGAAAGAAGTCTAGGAAAGGAAAAAGGTTTGAAGAGATAATAACTCCCTTTCCCTAAATAAAAACATTAGCCCAATAATAAAGTAATTCTAAATTCTAATCCCCAATGCAAAATCTTCAGGAAAAGTTTGGTTATTTATAAAATGTCTTCATCCTACTCTACTCTTCCTACATCTTTTCTTCCACTAACCCTGCTCTTCCTTACCCTCATTTTACTTCCATAAAAGAAAACCAGACTATTATATGTGCTTAGTACAATGCCTGGCATATAGTAGACATTTAATAAATGTTTATTGATTGAAGACATTTAAAAAGATTCAGGGATATAAAGAACAAAATCTGAGAATTTATGAGCAGAATAATAATTCACCAAAATGAGGAAATTTTGCAGAATGGAAAACAAGCAGATGTGAATGACAACACCTGCTCGAGGATTAAAAAAGTCAGTCTTAGTCCTATCCTACTATACCTCCCTTATCTCACTATCCCATTCTCCACAGCAGCTCTTGAAAACCTTTTCACCTCTCCTCAAATTTCTAATGGTTCCTCTTACCCCCACGTTCTCATTTGAGAAGCTTGCCTCATATTTTATAGAAAACATTGAGGTCACTAGCCGTGAGTACCCTCTTTTCCTCTCTTCCTCATTTATCACTCAGATGCTTTCTGCCATTGTCTTCTTCACATGATGAGGTGGCCTTCCTCCTGCACACTTGATTCCATTCCATGTCATTTCCTCTAACGGACTGCCCCCTCTGTAACCACCAATCACTTCCTGTCTACTGGCTCCTTCCCCACAACCTGCAAACACCCATGTCTCCCCCATTCACAAGAAACCCTCACTTGATCCTTCCATTCTTGTTAATTATCATCTTTTATCTCTTCTGCTTTTGGGGGCTAAACTCCTCAAAATGGCCATCTTCAATGAATGCTGCCACTTTTTTACCTCTCACTCTTTTCTCAATCCCTTACCATCTGGCTTCTCACCAAAAACTTCTCTGTCCAAAGTTACTAATGATCTTTTAACTAATAAATCAAATAACCTTTTCTTAATCCTCATTCTCCTTGATCTCTCTGTAGCCTTTGACACTGTTGATCATTCTCTCCGTCTTGATACTCTATTACCTCTAGGTTTTCAGGACACTCTCTCCTGGTTTTCCTCCTACCTATCTGACTGTTCCTTCTCTGTCTCCTTTTTCTGGATCCTCCTCCAAACCATGTCTTCTAATCCTAAATGTCCCTCAGGGTTCTGTCCTGGGCCCTCTTCTCTTTTCCATCAACACTACTTCACTTGGTGATCTCATTAGCTCCAATGGATTTAATTACCATATCTATGATGATGATTCTCAAATCTACCCATTCTGCCCCAACTCTCTGCTGACCTGTAATCTCACATCCCCAAATACCTTTTAGACATCTTGAACTGGATGTCCAGTAGATATCTTCAATTCAACATGTCCAAACTGCACTCAACAGGTTTCCCTCTGGACCCTTCTAACTTCCCTATAATTGTCCAGGGCAGTACCATCCTCCCAGTTTCTCAGGCTTGACATCTAGGTGTTATCTTTGACTCCTCATTATCTCTCAATCCAATCTGTTGCAAAGGCCTGTCGATTTCACCTTTGTATCATCTCATGTCCCTTTCTCTCCTCTGACATTGCCACCACTCTAATACAGTCCCTCATTACCTCAAGCCTAGACTACTGCAATAGTCTGCTGGTGAGTCTGCCTGTTCGAGGCTCTCCACTCCAATTCATCTTCCATTCAGTCACCAAACTGATTGTCCTAAAATGCAGGTCTCACTATGTCATCCCCCTACTCAATAAACTCCAGTGGCTCCCTATCACCTCCAGGATCAAATACAAGATGCTCTGTTTGGCATTCAAAGCCCTTCGTAACCTAGGCTCTCTCCTATCTTCCCAGTCTTCTTACATTTTACTCTCTACCATATACACTTTAACCCAGTGATACTGGCCTCCTTGCTGTTCCACAAACAAGACATTCCATCTCTCAGCCCTGGACATTTTCTCTGGCTGTCCCCCATGCCTGGAATGTTCTCCCTCCTCCTCCATGCCTACTGGCTTCCCTTGCTTCTTGAGTCTCAACTAAAATCCTATCTTCTACAGGAAGCCCTTCCCAACCTCTCTTAATTCTAGTGTCTTCCCTCTGTTAATTATTTCCTATTTATCCTGTATATAGTTTGTTTGTAAATATTTGCTTGTTGTCACCCCTATTAGATTGTGAATTCCTTAAGGAGGGGGCCTGTCATTTGTTTCTTTTTGTATCCCTAGCTCTTAGCCCAGTGACTGTCACATAGTAGGAACTTAATAAATGTTTACTGACTGCTAGTATATATAGAACTTCACGTAATATACAAATTCTTTACTACCTATATTACTTTCTACTCCTGATAGCAGTTAGGAATTAGATATGTTTGAAAAATATTTATTAACTGCCTACCATGCGCAAAGAACTGAGTAAGGTGTTAGTAACAGAATATATACACAGACAACACCAAGTAAATAAAGAGTAATATAAGTAATTTTTAGAGTCAGCATACACTAACAACTCAGGATATAAGTAAAGATCTTGTAAAGGAGATGGCATCTAACATGTGCTTTAAGAAATGATAAAAGGGGCAGCTAGGTGGCACAGTGGATAGAGTACCAGCCCTGGAGTCAGGAGGACCCAACTTCAAATCTGGCCTCAGACACATAATATTTCCTAGCTGTGTGACTCTGGGCAAGTCACTTAACCCCAATTGCCTCACCAAAAAAAAAAAAAACAAGAAAGAAAGAAAGAAAGAAAAAGAAATTATAAAGGAGATAGTTTCACAAAAACCTGGGAAGGCTTGTATGAACTGATGCAGAATGAAGTGAACAGAGGCAGTGAGGTGGCATGGTGGATAGAGCACTGGCCCTGGAGTCAGGAGGACCTGAGTTTAAATCAGGCCTCAGACATTTGACACTCACTAGCTGTGTGACCTGAAAAGAATGAAGTGAACAGAACCAGGGAAACAATTTATACAATGAAACAATATGGTAAAGACAAACAACTATAAAAGAATTAGTATCCCTAATCAGTGTCATGACTAACCACAAGTCCAGAGGACTAAACATGCTACCCACCTCCTGACAGAAAGGTGAAAAAGTTCAGAGTGCAGAAGGAGACACACACACATTTTTTTTTTGACATGGCCAATGTGGACATTTGTTTTGCTTGACTACATGTTTGTAACAGAGCTTTTTTTCCTTTCATCCTCAATTTGGGTGAGTCTCTTCAAAGAAACGTAGAAAAGTCAATTTATTTGAGCAACTGGAAGGAGCTGTATGATGATGCAGTACTAATATTCTAATAGAGTGAGAAACAACAAATGTCTCTTCAGAACCTTAACGTCTTTAAGGGGCATGGAGAAAAACAGAAGACCTAGGTCTGAACTGGTTCTGTTCTAAAGGTCTTAAGGGAGAAAGAAAATCAAATGTAACAGGAATACACTAGTGTAGAAAGGCAGGAAAGGGTGAAACTTGCTATTCTCATAACTGGGGTTTATGAGAAGGGTATGGAGGAAGGGGTAAAAGAAATCGGTATCAGATAAACCTAACTTTTACCTGAAATGACAAAGAAGGGTTGAAAACACACACACACACACACACACACACACACACACACACACACACACACACACACCTCTTTAGTTAAAGAAACTCTGCTTATTTCTTTAGAACTGAAATCTGCCAGAAACCCTAGCAAGCTTAAATAACAAAGAGAACTATGCTTTGGCCCCATTTCTCATCTACAATGCTGTGTGATAGTGAAGAAGTCATCTAATCTCTCTGGGTCTCAGTATCCTTACCCATGAAAAACAAATAATAATATCCAGCTGCCTCATAGAATTATGAGGATCCAATGAGACATGTTGTGATGTGAAAATGCTTTGAAGGGGTGGGAGAGATAAAAGCATAAGGCATGGTACCTGTTGAATGATCAGGGCTTGCAGTATTTCGGACAAAGGCCCAAGCCTCATCCTCAGTAGCAAACTTCTTGAACCTGGCAGCAGGAAATCGGTTCACTTGTGCTTGACATTCACTCCTGAAACAGTGACATAGATCACTTATAAAGGGTGCAATAATAACAATAACAGAACTTAAAGAGCACTTTTAGGTTTCCAAAGCCTTGCAAAGATATGTTATCTCACTTGAACTTTGCAATAACTTTGTGAGGTAAGTACTATTATTATTCCCATTTTACAGATGAGGAAACTGGGATATAGAGAACTGACTTGTCTAGGATAACAAAGCTAATAAATTTCTGAGGAAGGATTTGAACCCAGGTTTTCCCTACTCTTAAGTCCAACATTGTCCAAACTAGCTGCTGTTAAAACACTTAAAGTGCTTTATAAGAAGGGCGTATACAATGTTACCTGCCTTTCGATGAAGTGTTAAGAATTTGGCTTTGTTTTTCAAACCCAGCTTTAACATGAAAAGTGATTTGATTCTCAGCTACCTAATAGAAATATCTTATTCTTTATTCTCAATATACCTAGTACACCTGCTCTATTATCCACTCTATATGCTAACTAGACCATGAGACTACATGGCTTCCTCCTAATCAAAAAGTTTTTAACCTGAGGTCTCTGAACCTGTTTTGCTTGTTTTTAAAGTATTTTGAAAGCTGTATTTCCATGTAATTGGTTTCATTTGTAAACCTACGCATTTTATTTATGCATCTGAAACATTTTTCTGAGAAAGGGTCCATAGGTTTTACCAGACTACCAAAAGGATCCATGAAAAAGTTAAAAATCACTGTTCTAGTACAAAACATGCTAAACTTGTTTTAATTTTCATTCGTTAACTTAAATTTTTTTTCTACCTACTATGTTCAAGGCACTGTGTTAGGTACTAGTTCCAGCTACTTTCTAATGTACGGGATTTGGGCTTGTATATTGGAAATACTTCAATGGAACCATGATCTGATTGATATGAGAACACTTTTCCAAAGTACAGATCATAAAACCATTTACCTTCTCATCTTACTCGGCTCTTCAATGAATGATCCAGGCCTACCCCAATATCCATCTAAAGTGTCTATTCAAGATATACACACATATATACAATGCATACGTATGCATTTTCACACATGCATACATACACACATAGCACCTGTATATCAGTCTTAACAACAGACATTCTTCATACATTTGGATTTTCCTGCGTTACCTGCTATGCAGGTTGAATTCTTGAGTGGTTGTAAATCTTATAATTGAGATTTTGGAAAGTTCTGGGGCTTGTTTCAATCATTACAATGTCATCCAGAAAATGGAATTGCTGGAAGAATTTGGTCAGAAAGAACTGGGGTTTGAATCCCATCTCAAACACTAGCTGTGTAACTGTGATCAACCAAGCCACTTAGCCAACTCTGAGTTTTAGTTTCTTCACCTGTAAGATGAGGGATTTGAACTTCAAGACCTCTGGGGCCTCTTCTAACTCTAAATCTATGATCCAAAGAACTTGCCTATTATTATCATCTGCTATAAGGAATTTCTTTTCATTTGGATTCTAAACTTATCCTTTAGAGAGTAGTGAACATAATCTTTCATGCCTTGCTTGATACTGATAAATCAGAGGATCCTTAAACAAAGTTCTCTCTATTACATTTATCAAGGAATCTTAGGTGATCATAACAAAGGGGATACCTTTAAAGTTTATTTTTCTCTACTAAGTCAAATGTTTTAAAAACAATCAAACTATGGGATACTGTATTCTCTGCACCTTTCAATCAAGTCAATGAAAATATGGTCAGCTGTAAAAAGAAGTTTGTGAAAACCTGCCTTCTCATCTTTTCAAGGAAACCTCTTCTCTCCCTGTCTTTGTGTATGTGTATGTATGTATACATAGATATGTACGGGTATGTATGTATGTGCCACTCTCATTTTTATAAAATGAGATAGTAGGCACTGGTAGAGTTACTGCTTTATTTCTGGTAGCAAAACCATCTTTTTTTTTTTAATTGTTCAGTAAGTTTCCCCTTTTTCATATATCTTAGAAATAATTTTTCAATGCTTTCAAAAGTGTCACTTCCAGCACAGATTTCTTCTAATTATATGTGAGCAATAATAATGAAAAACTGTTCTAATTTATGTAGCGCTTTAAGGTTTACAAAATACTATGCTTACATTTAGAATATCAGTCTGTTATGGAGTTATCAACCTTGTTGAGGTTTCTTTCCACATAATTCAGGAAGATGATCCTCAATTACTGCTGTTTTGGTGTGTTAATTTTACTGATTCACAAATAAGATTATAAGCTTGTTGAGGGCAGCAGCCATGTCTAATACAAATGCTGTGTTTTTTATAGCACTTAGGATAATACTAGTCACATAGCACGTGCTCACCAGAATCTTCTTATAGACTGATTAGTCCAATCTTAGATATAAACAAGTGGCACTAGATAGTGAAGTGGATAGAGAGCCAGGCCTCCAGTCAGTTTAAGACCTAAGTTCAAATCAGGTCTCAGACACTTATTAGCTGTCTGACCCTGGACAAGTCACTCCACCCTGTTCGCCTCCACTTCCTCATCTGTAAAAATGAGCTGGAGAAGGAAAAGGCAAACCACTTCAGTATCTCTGTCAAGAAAACTCCAAATGGGCTCATGAAGAATTGCACAGGACTGAAATGACTCAACAAGAGATAACAACAAAAACGATCCTCAACTGAACAACTATCTTATTAGAAGCAGTTTACTACTCTATCCTTTCCTAAGAAGAAGGAAAGATGAGCAAAAAGTTTCTACAGGATTCTGCTATATTGGAAACACTCTTAAGGCTGAGACTGAGAGTTGGCCAGACTGTGCATCTCTCCAACCATCTATCTCAACTGCTCTCTCTGAACATACAACAGGTACCTAATGTTTAATGTTGATTTTGTAATATCTTGTTGGCTCTCTCAGCCCTTCAGTAGGTAGTTTAGACATTCAAGGCCAAAAAAAAAAAATTAACTGTCAGGTTACAGTGGAAAATATTCTACCTTGGAAAGTCCCAGGACCTAAGTCCTGGTCCCCAAGATCTCTTCACTTTTCTCATCTATAAATTGGTAGGACTGAACTGGATGAACTTTCAGGTTGTTTCCAGCTTTAAATTGTTATTCTAGGGGCCTGTTGCCCTCTAAAATCCCTTCCACCTCTAAAATTCCAGGAGGACCATCTAAGCACGATCCCACTTTGGGGCCTAAAAGGCTGAAATTAAATCTTCTGCAGGGTTGGTTTGGTAGGGGAGGGAAATTAATTAACAGAACACAGGGCTGGCAGAATGACAAAACTTTGAGTAATTCCTTGGTCAATCATAAAATGCTGCAGATAACAGGCCCTGACAAACACTGTCATCTAAACATCTCTCCAAAAGACTGACCTTTTCTCACTGATGGAGACAGGCCATGCCAAGTGGAGTGGGTCAGAAGGCTCAAATGGGCACCCTCAGACCTTTGGGAGAGGCAGAAAATGGCACAAACATCCTGTGCAGGGGAACAAAGAAGTGCAAAGGTGTGTTTGAGGTGTATCTTGACTGCAGTGGACTTTGTGGACGGCGCAGAGGTGGAAGGGAGGAAGTCAACCGACCTGGGAGGCTGGAGAAGACACACTCATTCACCAGGAGGGCTCACTCACTACTAAGAGGGCACACACACACTCACGACTAGGAGAGCACACTTCCCCACTGGCCAGGAGGACAGCTTCACTCCCCAGGGGGCACACTCCCTCACACTCACTCCCCAGGGGAGCACACTCACTCGCACACTCCCTCACATACTCCCACTCACCAAGTGGGGAACACGCCGGTCTTGCGGCCCCTCTTCACGGCGTAGAACATGCCGGCGCTCAGGCGGCGCGGGCCACAGCGGCCGAAGGCAACCGCGACAACTTTGGGGACAGCGGCCCAGAGCCTCAGCATGGCCCGCTCTGGGGCATAGTGGCCGCGGGGAAGACGCTCCCCTCGCCGGGGCAGGAGAGGACGCGAGGCCGCGTCTTCCGCTGTGACGTTTCCGCGACAGGGCTCGGGCCGCACGGAGTCCGGCTTCCGGGATTGGGAGGGGCCGCCGCATGGCACGCCCCCTTCTGGGCGGGGCCGGAGCACATTGGCCAAGGGGAGGGGGCAGCGGGAGGGAGGGGGCCTAAGGGCGGGAAACGCCGAGGAAGGGGGAACGGGGTTCTCACGTTCTAATGCGGAGACTGCAAGGGGCGGGGGGGGCAGAGAAATAGTGGGGGCACTCCCCCTAACCTTTGTGTTTTTAAAAGTTTTCTTTTTTATTGTGAACTTATCTACAGAAAACATTAACATTCCTAGCTATGAAGACCAGAAAATAATTGTTTTAAGAAACTGAACTAGACGTTGTTGTTTTAAGAAACATATGATGAGGATTTTTTTAGGTTTTGTTTGTGTTCTTTTTTTTATGGAGTTTTAATAAGGTTGTAAACAGTCGAAGCAATTGGCCTCTCTCTGTGGTGAGCCCCTTTCCTAGGGATGTGGAGAAAGTACTTTGTAAACCTTAGGGCACCGGATACACGGGATTCTCTATGAATTGAAGGGGTTCTAGAGTGTCAGACATGCGGCTCTGGCACTTCTGAGTGCAACCCAACCAGATCTAAATGTAATTGGGGGATAGTTAACAAAATAAAGAAAATATAATAGAACATAGATAATGTTAATATGTCATTTTCTAAGTGAACAAGTTGCAGGGATCCTTATGTACCCGTTTAGTGGCACTCCCTCTCCCCATTTTTATTTGATGCAAATTTATCTCCTCAATTAGGTGCTTTAATATATTCCTTCAAGGCAAGGGCTATAGTTCCTATTTCGCTGTAGCTCCCCTGTTCCCTGCTGAATTTTAGCTTAATAAATGTTTGCTGCCTTTACTAATAAAGGTATTCTGGCAATCTTCTTGCAATCCATCCATAACCTGAAACCCATGGTGCTTCATCAAGAAAGTACTATCTATGGTTTCATCAGGGTAGGGCTACCCTGATGAAGATTTCAACCCCATTATGTCTCAGTAGCCTAGCTATCTTTATAAACAGCCAGAAAAATTTATCACCAGGTGGATGAGCCTCTGTAGTTAGATAGTCTGGTCTTTAGAAGACACCATACTATCCCTCCCACTCAAAGTGTGATAGAACCTGGGACTGGCATAAATTTGAGGAATCCATGTGCACCTCTAAGTTGCAATGATATCAAAAGAGGATTTTAGGAGAGGAAAGCAACATAAGCAATGAAAAAAATAATATGTATTAGAAATCTATATTTATGTTTCTTCAACTATTTCTGGCAATTAGCACCATTTATTTTACTGTCAAATGGCCAGTGTTATATGTAAGGCGAAGACTGGTATGATTCTTACCAGCCCTTTCCCTTCAGTTGATTTAATCACACAAGATAAAGTTTTAATATGTTAAGAAAAGTTTTAATATGTTAAGAAGGATTAGAACCCTACTTTTTTGAGGTACAAAAGTCTATCAGGTTGAGTCTGGAAGGAACCAAGCCATTAACTGAGCAAACTAGCCATACCCCTCCCCACCCAAATAAATAAACCCTGGATGAATTCCAGTAGTTCTAGAGTGGGAGGCAGTCAAAAGTTTGGGGTCCTTTGTGGAAGAGACCCCTGATAGACTACAGTGTCTAGTAGTAGCAGACAAATGCCCCATCTGGCAGTTCAAGAGTGGGAGAGATTATAAGATTTAAGATGCTTGTAGAGGAGATCCTACGGGGGAAAAGATGAAATTTCTCCCTCTCTTCAACATCAGCCATGTAGCTTTTAAATGGAGTCATCCAACCAGTAGAAAACATTGCATTCTGTAAAGAAGCTTAGACATACTCCAGATAGAGATAGAGATAGAGTCAGTCACCCAAGGAAGGAAGCAGCCTCAAGAAGCCTGACCAGAGGCAGCAGAGAAAAGAGTCATACTATAAAGAAGAGCAGACTGGACCCTGGGAACCTAGCTGAGCAACTAGCCCTGCAGAGGCACTGTATAGAAGAGAGCTGCATAAGGACTCCATTATGAGAGAAAGAACTTCTAGGTCCTGCAGAATCAAGAGTTATAAGTCACCTTTGTCATCTGTATGCTTCATGAATGCCTCACTGTTCAGTTGCTTTTCATGGTGTCCAACTCTTCATGACCCTATTTAGGGTTTTCTTGGCAAAGATACTGGGAGTGGTTTGCCATTTCCTTCTCTAGCTCATTTTATAGATGAGACAAAGAGGGTTAAGTGACTTGCTCAGGGTCAAACAGTGTTTGAGTCAGGATTTGAACTCAGGAAAGGAAGTCTTCCTGACTGCAGGCCTGGCACTCCATCCAATTCGGCACCTAGTCACTTGAGAGACTTGTTATCATACTATTATATGAAGTCTTCCTGACTGCAGGCCTGGCACTCCATCCAATTCAGCATCTAGTCACTTGAGAGACTTGTTATCATACTATTATATGAATAATTATTAATTTGTAATCAAGGATTTTCTCCTTCTAATTTCTGTTTAGAATCCCAACTAGTTAAGGTCAGTCCTTTTCTGAAGGACGTGATTGATGAAATTATTCCTAGACCTCAAGGAGCATTCTCTTCAATCTTGGGCCAGACAATGCTCAACTAGGAGACATAATTTCTATTTAGAGTATAAACAAAATCTAGTCTGGGAGAAACCTTTCCCTGAGGGAGGGAACCACTGTCCTTGATCTCCCTCATTAGAGTTTAAGATGACCCAGCTCATGAAGAAGAAAACTGGCCAAGGAGGTTGGATGGAGATGGCTTCCCCCTGCCCAGTTTGCTGGAGTCTGCTGAGTCTCCTGACAAGCCATGTTCTCAGCAGGAGGGCTGAAGACTTTTAGCCTCATTAAATGTCAACCAATCAAGGTTGATTTTCACTTGTCAGGGGAATTCCCTTTCAGAAGGTATTTAAGGAATCTCAGTTGCTTATGGGTAGGCAGAGCTAATATAATAAAAATGACAGTTCTACCTAAATTAATTTACTTATTCAGTGCCATACCAATCAAACTACCAAAAAATTATTTTATAGAGCTAGAAAAAACAATAACAAAATTCATCTGGAAGAACAAAAAGTCCAGAATATCAAAGGAACTAATAAAAAGAAATACAAGCAAAGGTGGCCTAGCTGTACCTGATCTCAAATTGTATTATTAAGCAGCAATAATCAAAACTATTTTGTACTAGCTAAGAAATAGAGTGGTGGATCAGTGGAATAAGTTAGGTATACCAGACACAACAGTTAATGACTATACTAATCTACTATTTGATAAATCCAAAGATTCCAGCTTCTGGGATAAGAAATCACTATTTAGCAAAAACTGCTGGGAAAACTGGAAAAATGGATGACAGAAACTGGGCATAGACCAACATCTTACACCCTATACCAAGATAAAGTCAAAATGGGTACAAGATTTAGATATAAAGACTGGTACCATAAGCAAACTAGAAGAGCAAGGAATAATTTACTTTTCAGATCTACAGGGAAGGGAAGAATTTATGACCAAACAAGAGGCAGAGAACATTATGAAATGCAATGGATAATTTTAAGCACATTAAATTGAAAAGTTTTTTGCACAAATAAAGCCAATGAATCCAAGATTAGGAGAGAAGCAGAAAACTGGGAAAGAGTTTTGACAACCAGTGTCTCTGATAAAGGCCTAATTTCTAAAATACATAGAGAACTGAGTCAAATTTATAAGAATACAAGTCATTCTCCAATTGATAAATAGTCAAAGGATATGAACAGGCAGTTCTCAGAGGAAGAAACTAAAGCTATAGTCATATGAAAAATGTTCTAAATCACTATTGATTAGAGAAATGCAAATCAAAATGATTCTGAGGTACCACAGCACACCTATCAGATTGGCTAACATGACAAAACAGGACAATGATAAATGTTGGAGAAGATGTGGGAAAATTGGAACTCTAATGCATTGTTGGTGGAGTTGTGAAATGATCCAACCATTTTAGAGAGCAATTTGGAACTATGCCCATATAAAATTGTGCATACCCTTTGACCCAGCAATACCACTTCTAGGTCTGTGTCCCAAAGAGATCATAAAAACAGGAAAAGGACCCACATATACAAAAATATTTATAGCACCTCTTTCTGTGGTGCAAAGAATTGGAAACTGAGGGGATGCCCACCAATTAGGGAATGGCTCAACAAGTTGTGGTATATGAATGTATGACATAGGTCTTTGTTGTTGTTGTTGTTGTCGTTTGTGGTTTTGTTTTGTTTTTTTGCTTTTTGTCAAGTGTTTTGTTTTTTGTTTTGGCTAGGCAGTGGGGTTAAGTGACTTGCCCAGGGTCACACTGCTAGTAAGTGTTACGTGTCTGAGGCTGGATTTGAACTCAGGTCCTCCTGAATCCAGGGCTGGTGCTCTATCCACTGCGTCACCTAGCTGCCCCTGTTTTTTGCCTTCTGGTGAGGCAATGGGGGTTAAGTGACTTGCCTAGGGTCACACAGCTAATAAGTGTCAAAGTGTCTGAGGCCAGATTTGAACTCAGGTCCTCCTGAGTCCAGGGCCCATGCTCTATCCACTGTGCCACCTAGTTGCCCCTTTTTGTGGTATATGAATGTAATGGAATATTATTGTGCTATAAGAAATGATGAATAGGCAGACTTAAAAACACTTGGAAAGACTTACATGAACTGATGCAGAGGGAAATGAACAGAACCATGAGAACATTGTACATAGTAACAGCCACATTATGGGATGACTGACTTTGATAGACTTGGCTCTTCACAGGAACACAAGAATCTAAGACAACTCCAAAAGATTCATGATGGAATCCAGAGAAAGAAATATGGAATTTGAATGCAGATGCAAGCATACTATTTGGTCTCCTTTTCCTTTGTTGTTTTGTTTTATTGCTTCATTCTTGTGGTTCTTCCCATTAGTTCTAATTATTCTTTACATCATGACTAATGGGAAAATAGGCTTAACATGAATGTAGAACCTATATTAGATTGCATGCCATGGTG